ATTTCGCATCAAGTTACGGCCCGCGTGCCGCCGGCGCACGCTGTCGATACGTCTTCTGGGCGCGCGGCGGGTTGCGCCGATCCCTCGGGGCCGTTTGGCCGACGTGCTTCCGCCCCGCCTTCACGACACTATTTGGATTTTTCGATTTGAAATAAAAAGATCGGCGGAAGGAGAAAAACACAAAGGCGGAAAGCAAAAACAAGCAAGAAATGAAACGCGATCGGCGCGCAGCAGAAGACAAAGACTGCCGGCTTCCTCTACCGCCTTCAGATGTACGTGACGTGCACGGTGCGGGTGGAAGGCAGCCGCCTGGCCAAGCCCGTCCTGTCGCTGGCCCTGCTGTGTCTGGCCTTCCTCACGGGACTGAATCGCATCGCCGAATACCGCAACCACTGGGCCGACGTCATTGCGGGCTTCGTGATCGGCACCGCCATCGCCACCTTCTTGGTGAGGCTTTTGCCTTGCTTTGTTTATCGTGCCAAAGCAAGAGGAGAGGAGAGGAGAGGCTATCCGAAGCCTTTCTCTTTTCCAGTTGGAAAGGAACCCGGAATTGCCGTCGTGATTTTTCACCTTCCAACCCACTTTGTCCTTTGCTTTAGGTGGTGTGCGTGGTCCACTATTTCCAAGGGAAGTTGCTGCTGAACGACGAGACTCCGACGGGAGCGCGGACGCGCGCGGCACTTGTGGGCACGGGCCAGGTCGAGAGTCCTCTGGACAAGTACATCGTCTCGCAGGTCCGTCGCGACGCCCGCTCGCTCGCTGTTGACCGTTTTTGTCCGACCGCGTGAGCCCGTTCCGATCGACTTTGGAAAGTCAACGTCGGGGATGTCACCGACAACTCCTTGATCCTAATCCATCCCTCCGTGCGGATCCAGACCGGCCTCCAAGATTTGAGGAGAAAGTCTCGTTGAACCGATGAGAGAAAAAGGATGCCGTTTATTTAGGGAGCGACTGCGCTCGGACGTTGGCGCCTTCTCCCGGGACGGGCTCGGATGGAACAAATGAGGGCGGCGGCAGAATAGGGTCCGCGGGAACATTTTGTCTGCCAAAGATACAAACAAACTGTTTGGGAGAGCATCCAGTAAGCCATTCACTTCCAAAAAAAAAAAGATTGGGAAAACACACCGGAGCTTTGTTCAAGTCAAAGAGACTTCACAGCAACGCATCCCGCTAAGAAGATGCACATTTGGTGGACCGTGAAAAAAACAAAAAACATTCAGTTGCCTGAACACGGCCGAAACAAAAAAAAGGGGGAAAAATATCAGCTCGTATTAAACTCAGCGATGCTAAGCTCGGCGGAAAGTAACCGGGCTAAAAATAGCACAGCAAAGAAGCCTCCGAGCTAAAGGGGCCACGCTAAAGAAAATGACAAGCGAGAAAGAAACAGTGCGCGCTTCTCGTTCCCATTTGGTTTTGCTCGGCTCATCGACGTGCGCCGCAAGAGGCTTCCGCGACTTGCACTCACCGTCACCGTCACCGTCCATCTTTCGGGACCTCGTTATTCCCGACGCTCCGAAGCGGTCGTCGGGCTCCAGGCCGTCGGCGGCGCGCGAAGCCATCTGTTGTTTTTGATTTTTGTTCTTGTGCCGTAGAACCACATCACCTTCGCGGAGGTCACATGACACGGAGCCAGCGGCGCTGCAGGCGCACCGGACGGCGATCCAGCTAGCCCGAGTGCGGCCGTAAACCCGATGCTCTCCTCCTCTCTGTCTCCGTTTTCTCCCTCCTGGTTTTAGTTGTTTTTTTTAGATATCTATCAATCCATATGAAGCATACATCTCAAGAAGGAAAAAAAACAAAAAAGAACATGAAAGTTGGAGTTCCTACCCGTCCAATGTGCACCGAGCCCTGCTGAAAGTAGGCCAACCGCGACCTCCGACCCCGACGACGGACTCGGGGTGACGGCCTTTCCAAATGAAGCTCTTCACTTGAACTTGAACGGATCGCAGCCGAGCCGGCAGCCGAGCCATCCCCCTTCTCTGCGGCGCCCCACAACGGCCAAATGGAAGGGGAAGAGTGTCTCGCTCAAGGGCGGCTTCGAGGTGCGCACCAAACCAAAATGTTCCCATTTTCATCTCGTCGCCCCGGCTTCAAGCCGTCACGGACGCGCGACTCGGTTGAGTTCCAGGTGTTGTTTTAATTGCGAGCGGTGCGAGGCCGCGTTCAATCAGCGACCGGGATCACGCCGCATTATTTCCCCGAGCTCGGACTGACTGACGCGAGCCAAAATGTTCCCGTCGGCTCGTCTGAGAAAACAAACGATACCACCCGTGATCGTGTCGCGTTCTGACCTTAGGCGGCCCCGTAGAAATGGGAAGAGAATCCCGGCCATCCCGCAACTATTCGCAGTCCAACAGAAAAAAAAAAGACGCCCTTCGCTCTCGTTTCCCGAGTGTCCGCGAACGCGCCACGCGTCGTCCGAACCCGAACGCCGAACGAGTCGATGTTTTGCGCGGCTTCGAGTCGAGCCGCGACACTCGAGACTGCGATTTCTCGACGTCGTGCTTCTCGGAGGAGCGGACGGTCTTTCGTGGGCGCGGTCGGGAAAAGGAAGCCCGCGTCCGAGACACTTTGCACCGTGAGCTCGCACTTCCGCCCAGCGAAGCAAACGTTCGGGCCGCGGTTCGGAATTGGCCGCGGCTATCGCGATCTCAGTGAATCTATGGAGGGCTCCGTCCTTTTAGCAATTACCCACAATGCACTACCGGCGGCCATATTGGAGGGCTGTTCTAAACAAGCCGGTATAGTAGTGCATTGTGGGTAATTGCTAAAAGGACGGAGCCCTCTATATCGCCCCCCCCCAAAATGTTGCTTTGTGATCATTCGTGAGAAGCCAACTAGCGCGACTCAAATGGATTCCCAAAGAAGTCGCTCGACCGCGGTCGTTTTTGGTTTCCTCCATCCGCTTATTTTCAGCAGACTCCAATGATCACTCGCGATGGATGCGGATCGATTTCAGTCGTACGGTCGAGCTCGCCCAAGTGGACAGCTGTCACGCAACTTGAAACCGCGTTTGAAAGCCGAGCGAATCGACGGACTAAACGTCATTGGCCGGAAGTCCACCTTCTCCAAACGCGTCTTCGACTTGTCGGCGGCTCGCGATCCTCGGCGTCCGTTCAATCGATACACTCCGCGTGCGTCTTCTCCTCTTGACTCAGCGTTCGCCCACAACCGACCCCGCCAGAGATGTTGGAAAGGGTCCCTTCTTGGCATCGACCTTGTTCCCCTTGCGAGCCACGTTCTCTCTCGCTCCTGTCTTTTGACACTCTTTCAAATATGGGAAACCCCGAGTGAATAAAAGCAAAGGGTTCAAGCAATCCGAAGTTGGCGGTCTTGTTGTTGGTTTGGATTTGTTTACAACCGCGCACGTGAGCTGATGACCGGTGTCGGCGCTTCAATATACGGCGTCTGCCATTTTGGGGTCAATATTTGACGAAATGCTGGACGTGTGCTGCCCGAAACCCTTTCTTCAATCGAGCAGCGCGAGCGGAATGATCAGCCAAACAAGCTTTTAGTCTGCATTTATTCAATTCTCTGAAGTCAAGGATGACACAATCCAAAATCCGAACCAAAAAGGAGGCGGAACGCACTTTGGGGATTTTCTTGTCGCTTGACACGCTTCAGTGGTAAAAGGGGACGTCGGTTGAGGATTTCCTTCTTGTTGTTGTTGTTGTTGTTGTGACGGGCACATGGAAGACAACTTCATCCTGCGTCTTCATCTTGCCGCTCAACGGGATCCCTTCGTTGGGACAAGAGGAATGATTCCCACACCGCCAGGCACTGCAAGCCAAAAGGTGATTGATGAGCTCGCCATCCAGATTGGAGGAAACGATCATTGCCCCATTCAATGAGTCTCCGCGCTTTGCTTGTCGCCCCGCCCCCTGCCCCAAAAACTGCAAAAATGTACTTGCTTTAATGTTGTCAATTTAAGATGTTGTGTGTAGAAGTTTGAGCTTTTTTTTTGGTGGGGGGGGGGGGCAACTGCATGGATTTGACACTCACCTTCTCATAGCATTCCACGTTCTTCTCAGCGGTCGAGATGAAAGCCGATTTGAGGTCGTCTCTCATATCGTTCTGCCAGCGGACCCAATCGCCCTTCAACGCGCTGTTCGCCGTTTCCAGTCGATCGGCCAGAGCGTCCACTTCTTTCTCCAGCTCAGCCTAAAACGACGCCAGAGAAAGCCAGCAAAGATGATCCAGGTTCCTCTCGCTCGCCTTCGTCTTACGAGGAGGACGGATGGAGTCGAAGGCGCTCGGCCACGCGGGAAATCGGCCAACGGCGCGACTGCCAATTGGAGTGACATCGCCCTCTCCTGGCTGCGGTGCGTCACAACATGCGAGCTTGCTTCCAAACACAGAGAACCCCCACCGCACGTGAAACTCGGCTAGAAAGAATGAAACGGGGCTGCCGATTGAAAAACTTCTTCTGGAAAGAGAAGTGGCTCCGGTTCGACAAGGCGCCAAGAGAATTTGCCAGCGCCGACTCGGCACCATGGTCGCCCAAGTACGCGGCGCCGCGCGTCTGAAATGGTCACGCGGATCGAGCGAGAGGGGAAGAGCACTCACAACTTCTCGGTCGGCCTTCTTGGAGGCGAGGGCCTCGTTTTTGGTCTCCAAGTCGGCCTGGATGGCGTCTCGCCGTTTCGTCACCGTCTGAGAGCGACGAGGGAGACTGGAATCAAGGTCGGCCTCGGGAGGTCCCCGGTCGGCCCCTTTGCGCTCGGCGCTCTCGCTCACCTTGAGTACCTCGGCGCAGAGCACGTAGTCGTGGAGAGCGGGGACCAGCACGGCCGAGAGATGGCGGAGCCGCTCTTCCGCTTCTTTGCCGCATCGGTCCACGCAGCGGGCTACGAGGTTCAGCGGCTCGCGCAGCTCCTCCTCCACCTCCGCCCACTGGCCATAGAGGGGCCCGTACTGCTTCAGCTCGTCCAAGTATTCTGTCGGCGCGGGCCACGCGGACATTGAAGGCGACCGACGGGAGACGGCGGGAACGTCGCCGGCGCGTTTCTGGCGCACACGGTGGCAGTTTGGGGGGGGGGGGGCACCATACCTCGCTGCTCCTTGATGATCCTCCGAGAAACCTTGTCAACGGACGAGATCTTGCAGCCGAAACGTTCGGCGTACTCCTGCATCAGTGTGAACTCCTCCGGGCGGCTCTTGATGCCCCGCACCGAGATGGCCGCCGCTCGGACCGTCTCGCCCATTCGACTCAAGAAGCCCGGCCCGGGTGTCTTGCGAGACGAGAAATCCTGCGGTTGAAACGCAACTTACTTTGGGCTCGCGACGTGAATTTGGCTTTCTCGACTCGACTTCAGTTTTGGGAGTAGGGATGTCCCGATCAGATTGTTTTGAGGGGGGGGCGCACCCAACTATCTCTCCCGATCAGGTCACCCATCCATCCATATTCCCAGGCGGCGTCCTCATCGGATGCCCGAGCCACCTCGCCTGGCTCCTCTCGACGCGGAGGGGAAGCGGCTCAACTCGGAGCCCCTCCCGCATGAGCTTCTCTTCTCGCCTTCTCTCCGAGGGAGAGCCCGGACGCCCTGCGGAGGAAAGCCGTTTCGGCCGCTTGGATCTTTTCCGGCCATGAGCCGCAGCCGCGAGATGAGGGCGGGAGTGTCGGGCGACCGCTAAATCGAGAGCTTTGCCCTTTGGCTCCGCCTCCTTTTTCACCACGACAGACCGATACAATGTCCGCATCGTTTCCAGTCAGACAGGGGCGGGGGGAAGAGAGCACTGTCCCAACGACAGCGCTGGGGTCTTGTCGTTGCTCCGAATACAACGTGCGCTAGAGTGCGGCGTCCGGGAGAGCGCTGGGCGTGGCTCTCACCGTCACCCCCAAAAGAAGAAAAGCTAAGATTGTGTCCTATCAAATGAAGCTCTTGCGCTTCCCTTTGACAAGCTCTTGATGGCTTTGGACCATTTGGTGACATGAGAGAGTCTGGGCGGAAATGAGGGGAAAAATCGGATCGGGATGTCCCTATTTGCCACGTGGACAATTTGTCGTTGTTATTTGATTTTATTGAGGATTGGTCTGCGCCGACGTGTGTCCTACCTGAGCAGTCAGGAAGAGTCGAAAGTGGCGACTGGACGACAGGGTGGGATGCTCGGCGATCTTATTGAGAAAGCGGTGCAGGGCTTTCTTCCTGGTGTCGATGAAGTCGTCGGTGAAGCGCTCCACCATGCCTTTCATCACAAACTTCTCCGGAAGAGGCTGAAAGACCAGCATCCTTTTCACCCGCCACGCTCAAATTGCACCGACGATGCTTCTTTTTTTTTTAATTCGGGTTTGCCAAGTCAGAAGCCATCAGCGCACGTCCGGCGTAAGCTATAGGCCAGCCCGCGGCAAAGTCGCCACGCGCCGCGTTTACACGTACGGGGACGATGAGGCTCGGGTGGCTTTCTTCCAGTCGGCTTCGTAGCCAAAGGAAGTCCTGGTAGCGACGGAGCACCTCGTACTCGCACGAGTCAAACTCACTCCTCGCCGTCTGGAAAGAGGAAGCACAAACCGCTCTCAACTTCCAGCAGGTCACGTCAGCGCCTTTCCATAAGCGCCTCCCGCCCACAGGACCGCGGCGGCTGAGTGCGTTTGCAGAGGCACGCGGCGGAATGATTTGCGAGCGTGTGCGCGCCTGCCAGCTTACCTTGGTCACCACTCTGTACACGATGAAGGTCTCAATAGCTGTGACGCGACTCTCTGGACTGTCGACCGTCACAAGCAAGTCTTTGGCGCCGCCGGTCTGCTGTTCATCTTCATCCAGTTGGTACTGGTTGAGCATCGAGCTGGGAGAGTTGGCCACGGGATCCTCGTCTGTCAGTAATAATTTCTGAACCCAAGACAAGGCGGACACTATTTGTTTTTTTTTTTCCCCATGAACACACGAGCAACGAATTCATGCGGCGGCTGCTCGGGGCACGGCGAGCTCGCGCTTCGTCGCGGTGAAGCGCCACAACC